AACCGGCAACCTTCCGATTACAAGGCGAATCCCAACTCTTGAGTTACGATCGCCCCGATTTAAAGCCATGCATTATCACGCATTGCAACATCTAGTCCTTTTACTGAATTACAACTACGTTGTTGTCAGCAGAAATATTGCTAATTTCAGAGTGAACTTGTGAAATTCTCTCAAATGCTCAGTAATACAAAGAGGTGGACTTAAACAACAATTTAATCTGTGATACAATCAAAAGCTGTAAATGGTGTCCATGGAGTCCACTTTTTCATGCTGGTCAACTTTTTCTCAGCGACAATGACGCTTAAGATTAGTTCAGTAATAATGGGAGGTAATGAATAAAGAAAAGTGGCACCACGCTAAAAAAGTTCAGAACTGCCAGCTCAGGATCACACTGATTTTTGAGCTTGGCAGCAGGTTGTTATATGTGCACTGGGAGTGTAATTAGGGAGCAGAACATGGGCAGTTGGAACTGGCTGACACGAAAGACGAGTTAGTGGCTGGCATGCAAAACAGTCAAGGATTAATTAAAGACTGTCTGACAGCGTGACACCATAATGCCACAACTGGAATCGATCTGTTGATCTCTCATAAATTTCACAGAAACATTATCAGCCGCAACCAGACAAACGCACTTTTCTGTTTTTCATTCAGTCTCTCTCTTTCACACAGACACCAGACACATGCCGTCTGCTGGCTGAACCCCGAGCCAGGGGAAATGAGATTTGGACGTGTGTCACAGTCAGCCGTTTTGGGGCTAATTGAAAGTCTGCAACCTGTCATCGCTTTATTAACCTTTTGTTTTCTTGCAATCAAGCTGCACCACTTTTAACTCACGAGCAATCTTTAATCCTCAGCTCATAGTACTACTAATATCATTATACTCCACGTGTAACACACACACACATCAGGTTTTAAAGTTTAAGCAAGAGATTAGACAGAAAATATTTTGAAACTTGTCTGCATCCAAAATAATTAATTCTAGCGTTAACCAATGGCCGTCTAAATGGATCAGAGAGTTAATTAGGTGCAGTTGTGGTAATTAGTCGTCTTTTATTTGATGGTTTATGAGATCAGTTAATTATTCACCTGTCATCTGTTGTCTGAGTTGAAATATGAAGACCATGACAATTTAGGAAATTTCTAATTATTTTCTTGCATTTTATCCGTTTAGTAAGTTTTCTTATCTCACATGAAATATCCATGTATTTGTATTTGATGTCACGTCACTCCCTTTTTTCTTTGTTTTTCTCTTATTTGCACTCATACTGTACAAGTCTACTAAAGGTGCAACTTAAAATATGCACATACTCAAATTATTTCCCAAGAGAAAATTTGTTTTTCAAATCACGTTGCCGAACCGTCGCTTTTATCCTCCGTGCAAACAACATGAAGTACGAGGCGTGACGCTTGAGTAAATCTCAGATTTATTTCAATTGCTTTCTGTCCCGCTGAGACTTGCCGTCAACTCCCTCCCACATGCTCCTGCAGCCCCGGCTGATGGGCTTTTCCCGTATGTTCCTCATGAATCTGAAATGAATTTAAGGGTTCAGATATTGAAACACGGTAATTGAATGCACCTCATTGGAGGTACATCTCACAGCCTCTTCAGCAGACACTGAATCACATTTCATTTCAGGTTAGAGCAAAAATATTTTTATTGACATCTATTTTCAGTACACTTTAGACTAAATGTCAAGTATAAATTGAAACTCATAATGTAGAG